TATCTAACCATCTCATCCTCTGCCGTCCCCTTCTCCTTTTGCCTTCAATCTTTCCCAGCATCAGGGTCTTTTCCAAAGCGTCCTCTCTTCGCATGAGATGACCAAAGTATCTGAGCTTGAGCTTCATTATCAATCCTTCCAATGAGCAATTGGGGTTGATTTCCTTTAAGATTGACTGGTTTGACCTCCTAGCAGTCCAAGATAACGCTAAAGGGAGGTGTGATGGCAAGTTTTGGAACCCCTACTCTAGACGAATAATGCCTCTAGATTTTTGCCTTTAACCTACTACATCCAGAAACAAAAATTATCTAGTTACCCCACTCAGTAAGAGCACACACATAATTTCATTGGCCAACAAGAAAACTTCCCTTAGAAAACTTTCCCAAAACCCAAGATACATAAATTCATTAGAATCTCTCCAAAATGTTACAAAGTAGACAACAAGCTTTTAGTACTCCGGGACTCTTTGGCTGGGTTCACAGATTACATGAAGCATTGTTGATGTTCATTAAAATCCAAAGGAGTTAGGTCTAAGGAACCATAAGGACACACGCCCTTACCAGCCTGCCTGCACCCTAAGATCTAATGAGAGGACTTTCTCTCATACCTTGTACTTCAATTTGTTGAAGTGCAAATTGAAAGTGATAAAATATAAAAATATTTTATGACAAAAAAAATGCAGCTTTACCATTTTTCTAAATACTGGAGGAGGTGGGTGAGGGAATCTAACGCTTGAAAAATGGGACTGATAGCGGGTTCCATCCTGCAGACCTTAGCAACCCGACAAATTTTATTTCTCCTCTTTTTGCCTGCTTTCCCCCCCCCCCCAAAATATGCTGCATTGTTTTTAATTATTCGAGGCTCCAAGTGATACTTATCCATTAGAAAAGTGGCGTATGTATAAAAACGTTAATGCGTCTTGTCTGGGTTTGGCTGAACAGACCTGGTCTCAATTGGTCTGTAAACTATCGTTTAATAATTTAGCATATTTTGTAAATCCAACCAGATGCGGCTTGTTAAAGAAACATGGCTCAGTATGACTGCGATCACAGCCAGTGTTTTGCAACTAGCTGCGACGCTCCCGCCAACCACAAACACACTGTTGAAACGTAGATGGCGAGGAAAAACGACGCTACCCCTTTAAGAGCCGCGTCCGCCGTGCATGAGGCCCACGGCAGAATCTCTCTCCGAAGGTGGGCGGGAAAGCTGTGGGGGGGGAGGAGAAGACGGCGTCGTCTCCTGAGAGGCCGCTGGTTATGTCACCCGCTTGTGGCTCCTCCCTCTCCCCTCAGGCGGGAGGGCACCCGTGAACGAGGAGGTGCTCGAGAGGGGAACCGAGAGCCTTCGCGCCTGCGCAGCGCAGTTTCGCT